TTATAGCTTCCAGAGCAAACCGTAGGCGAGGAAGGCTTCCCGGAGGCGAGGCCATGCGGCTGGGTGGTTAGATCCGCTACCCCACCCCACCACCACCACCGTGGAATTCCCGCTCCACAGTTAGTGTAGTCACATGTGTGTCATTGAGCACATGGCTTAGCCTCTCCGTGCCTCAGTTTCCACATCTGTAAAATGAGATAATAACAGACCTCAGTAGGATTTGGGGGTGCTGGAGTGCGTTGGCTTAGTAAGGTCACAGACCCCTGGCCCGCACCTGGTTAACTGCTCCTGTTTCTCCCCTTCCGCACCAGCCCAGCTCCTCAAGGCCTTCCAGTTCTAGCCCCAAGTTCCTCCCCTTGGCCGCACCCCCATCACAGGCCCTCCCAGGCTGCTTCCCGCGCTGGAGCGTGTCTGCTCTTGGCCCCCAGAGCCGGCCTGGCTGCCCCTGCCCGCCCGCTCTCGGGGGCCCCGCCCCAGCCTCCTACCGTGGTCCCGTTCTCTCGCTTTCCAGGCCACATGTCCGCTCCCAAGGCAGGGGCTACTTTCTTGCTCATCCGTGTAGATCTGGGGCCCAGGCAGGGCCCAGTGTGAAATAGGTGCTTGATTGATTTTCCTAGAGGAATGAATGAATGAATGAATGAGTGAGTGAGTGAATGAGGAGCTGATCCAGCCTAAACTGTGGAGGAAAGGGCACCCCCTGAGGGCAACCCTACTGCCTGGCCACCTCCTGGGTTCCTTCAGGGTCCAGTCAGTGTGGAGACCAGACCCTTGGTGGACCCTGGGAGTGGGGGTTAAGGAGGCAAGTGGGGTACAGGTAACAGGCTCCCCAAAGAAAGCCGGTCACTAGGGAAGAAGAGCGGCTCCCTGGGCAGTGGTGCCCAGAGGCTCTGGCTGGACGGGGCGGAGTGAGGAGCCGGCCAGGACGCCGACTGGGGTGTTGGCAGCCCCGCCCCTGAGCGGCAGCCATCTGGCCTGGGCAGAGGGGCCTCCACAGGCCCTGGCGCACCCCCAGCCCCGCAGCCTCCCCACTGCTGACTTGCGTCACTGGCCCATGGGGGGGGGGGAGACAGCTCCCCCCAAACCAAGAGGATGGCCTAGACAGGCTGAGGCCCTCAGCCCCCTGATGCCCAGAGGACACAGGAATTCCACCGTCTTAGGAACCTCGCTCAGGGTCGCCCTGAGGATGCTGGTTAGAGCTTCCTGCGGGGACCTAGCTCTGCCCAGGAGAGGATTCTCATGGCAGCTGGTGGGTGGCCTCCGGGGTCCGTGCCCACCCAGAAGCCTCGGGGGCTGGGGGGGAAGTTCTGAAGGCCTGCACCTGTGGCCTCCACCTCCGCCCCCCCAAAGCTTGGCATGTGGTGATGGTGCTGGGAAGCAGCCAGGCATGTCTGTAGGGGTCCTGAGACCAGGCCTGGGTGTAGAGGGAGCTAGCGTGCCCGGGACCCCAGCGCAGCTCCCCAGGGAGGTGGAACCTGTGGACACACAGACATGTGCGCCCCACTGCACACTTGCATGCAGGGAGCCACACATGCCAGGGCACACACCAGCACTGACCGTGGCATGTGGCACGCACATGTCCTGCATGCACAACACATGCACACAGATACACTCACATACATACATATGAACACAGTTGGGCACAAATACATGGACACACATGCATGCTCATGGAATGCATACGTGTAAACACATGTACACATATGCACCTGGATAAAAACATACCCACGGATATACATATGCACGGACACCCATGCATATGCACACACACATGAACACACACAAACACATCGGCACATATATGCATGGGTGCACATATGTACGTGTGGACGTGTACATGTGCGCACATGGATACACACACAGAGAGATGGACACATGTGTGTTGATGCATGTACCCACACATGAAGACACGTGTGTGCACATATATACACGGACATATGCTCATGCACACAGATACATACACTTGAGCACACGTACACATGTGCACGTGGATATGCATGTACGTGTGGGCACACACACATGTATGGAAACATGCACACGGAGTGTGTACATCCATACCATGGACACATGTTCATACACATGTGTGCATGGACGCACATGTGCATTAGAGTGTGTGCGTGCAAACCATTGACACGTGTGGACACACATGCACACATGCACATGTATACACGTGGACACGCACACACACAAACATACTCGTACGTCTGGGCTCAGACCTGTCGCTGCTTCTCCCTTCAGACCTAACCCTCCACACCAAGTCCGCCCTGGCCTGTGGAAATGGCAACCTGAAGGGTGGCCCCTTCTTGGGGGAGGGCACAGGTCCACGCAGAACCACCACGAGCTGGACCCCAGCCCAGGCCTGCTGGGCCTACACTTCTGTTCCTCTGATCCTCCTCCATGAAATGGGCACTGTTGCCTTGCGGGTTTGTGTAGGCTTGAATGAGGCATGTGCACGGGTGTCTGATGCGTGCTGAATGACTGGCATTTACGCTAGTAAAGATACACACTGATTCGGTGCGTAATGTCCAGGCATTTCCAGGCAGCACTGGGCAAACCACCACCGCCACCCTTCCCAAATCACCTTACTGTTCCTCGGGGTTGAGTATCCATCGGTGGCTTCCCATTGAGTGTCCAGAGGTGGCTTCCACCCAGGCAGAGCCAGGAAGAGGGGTCCCTCTGCAGTTTGAATGTACCCAAGATTTCTCGCCTTCCCCACAGCCATCCTGAACCTTGAGTGTGGCTGTGCTGCCACCTGCTGGTCAGGAAGATAAGCGCAGGCTTAAGAACTGGCTTTCCACTAGGGAACTTCAGAGTAATTATCCTTGTGTATGTGGTTATAATACAGTATAGTAAACTACACGTGAGCAGATCCTGAAGCCCCTACTGGAACCAGAGTTATCCCCCTAGAAGCTGGCTGATTGTGAGGAGGTGCAGGAGTCTAGGGAAGGATGTGAGAGTGTTTTGACTTTGATGAAGTGAAGTACACCAACACATCGCTAAATGTCCTTAACGCTTGAAGACCTTCCATGCTCTGATGCTTGTCCCACCCCCTACAATCAGGCTACTATGAATAATTTTTTGGGGTTCCCTGCACTTGGACATTCCTAGTCCAAAGCCTCACCACTACCTGCAGTTTCTAACCCAATGAGAAGTAGGAACCTCCCCAACACACCTGGGAGCCTCCCCAGCATACCATGGGAGCCTCCCGATCACACCATGGGAACCTCCCCATCACACCATGGGAACCTCCCCGTCACACCTGGGAGCCTCCCCGATCACACCATGGGAGCCTCCCCATCACACCATGGGAGCCTCCCCGTCACACCATGGGAACCTCCCCGTCACACCTGGGAGCCTCCCC